TGTAAGGTGAGAGTGACGCTGCTGGAGAGGGAGGGCACTCCTTCATCAGAGCAGCTCACTGTGATATTATATTCAGAGGCTCTCTCTCTGTCCAACCCACCTTCTGTTACGACAGTAAAGAAATTATTATGAGATGATTTAATCCTAAATGAAATATTCTCATTTAAGGCACACATGACTTTCCCATTTTCATTTGAATCTGGATCTTGAATGTTAAGCATTGTTACAACAGTCCCTGATTTTACGTCCTCAGATAATGAGTTTGATTTAGACATAACTGTAATAGATGGGGGGTTATCATTTACATCTGTCACCTCCACTATCACCTTACATGCGTCTGATAATCCACCTTGATCTGAAACCTGAATATCCAGCTCATACAGTCTTCTTTTTTCATAATCTACATTTCCTGTCAGTGACAACACTCCACTATCAGAATCAATCTGAAACAGATTAGCTGCTGCGGATTTTGCAATAGAATATATCACTTTTCCATTGTTCCCTTTATCTTTGTCTGTAGCTTTCACTGTTGTAATTATTGTACCAACAGGYGCATTTTCTGTTACACTTGCCTTATATTCGGGTTTAGAACAAACCGGAGGATTGTCATTCACGTCTAACACAGTGATGATAATCTGCATTGTTCCCGAGAGCTGCGGCTCTCCTCCATCCAGCGCGGTCAATATTAAAGATAAATGCTCGTTTTTTTCTCGGTCTAATGGTTTCTGCAAAATCATTTCTACATGCTTATTTCCATCTGTTCGGCTGGTGGTTTTCAAAACAAAATGATCGCTGGGTTTCAGGCTGTAACTGCTTAAACCATTCACACCGACGTCATCATCTACGGCTTTTTCTAAAACAAACCGAGCGCCAGTAAGAGCTGATTCTGWAATTTCATATTTGGCCTCACCTCTTTCAAAGTTGGGAGGATTATCATTTATGTCGGTAATCTCAACAGTCACGGTATAAAACTCCATGGGGTTCTCTAGAATCATTTGRAAATGGAGCGCGCAGGGTATTGTCTGAGCGCACAGCGACTCTCTGTCTATTCTGTCCTTAATCAGGAGCAGCCCTCTTTCTCGATTCAGCTCGACATATTCTTCCTTGTTACCCGTAAAAATCCGAGCTTTCCCGGATTTCAGYCGCTCCACTCCCAAACCCAAATCATGAGCTATATTACCAATCACAGAGCCCCTTTTCATCTCCTCCGGAATGGAGTAGCTGACCTGCCCGCACACAACGCTGAGGGAGAGCGCAGAGAAAAACAGCAGCAATCGTTCCATCCTTCCAGTCGACATGGGAATAATAAATAGAAAAAAAACTGAAATCTTTCTCTTTTTTTTAGATCTGGTTCCGTCTTTTGAAGGTAAAACACAATTATATATTCCAAAATGTGATAATAATGTCATCTGAAGAACAAAGGAGACTCGGCTGGMTACTGCGTTTCATAACGACGCCGACGGTTCACTCCTCCTCTTTCTGCCTCACAAGGTGATACTGAGGCAGAAGCTGCAGCTAAGACATCATCAGAAAGTTCACGGCTAACAGCGTCCCTCTCTGTACAACAAACTGAACTGCACAAGAAAATWAATAAATWAAYAAAACTGACTATCCCAAGTTGTAGAATAAAGAACAGTTAATAAATCTAATGTACAAAGTGTCACTCAATAAACATGTTGTAACGATGTGATTTAACAAAGTAACAAACTAATTTTATACAAAATATCTCAGCCAAAAGTACCTAAATTAGTGTACATGAGGACAAACAAGAGAAACATCAAAGACAAAAAAAAAGGTAGTGAAATAATTTATATGCTAAAAAATGCCTTAATTTGTTTGCACTTATGCATGTTAAAATTTATTTTGAAAAGATAAAATGACAAACACAGGCATGGTGTTAAATGCACTTTAAAGTTTTTTTTTATGTAAACAAAAGAATAGGATTACACTTCAGAATACAAATGTCTAAAATGTTTGTCGTAAACCACAGGCAAAAAAAATCCTAAAGG